TGGCTGTGTGGGCAGGTGCCACCACACCTGGCTTTAAGGCGAGAGGGGCTAGTCCTGGCATAGTTAGAGGTGAACAAGACATGCCCTGTTTCCTTCAACATGGGGTCACGGTTGGGACAAGAGGCTATGATGCTGCGACTAACAGCTGTGACCCTGTAAGCAGTGACAGTTGTTGAGATCAAAGCAAGCTCAGTGGGCGCGCCAGGGGCTCCAGGAGGTTTTCCTGCAGGTGACAGATGTGTCCAACTGAGGACACTGGCCAAAGGAAGGACGCGCCTGGATGAGCAGAGGCTGGTTCCAGGGTGAGGGCTGGGGGCAGCACTTGGTTGAGATGGGGGCTGAGGAGGTGGGGTGAGAGGCAGACCAGGGTGTGATGAACCTGGAAACCATGAGGGAGTCGGGCTGTCATAATCAGAGCCGAGTCCCAGGGCCATCAACCACTGTTGATGGCCACCATGGGACCTTAGGGGGACCGGTCAGGGCTGAACACTGGGATGTGGGCACAAGGCCATCCTCCACTACCCGTTATCCTGCTGCTTTTGGTGGGGGGAAGACCCCAGTGGGGGCACCAAGGGTCCCACCCTGTCCTGTCTGCTATGGATGGGGGAGGAGGAAGCTGAGGGGCCCGGGAGACTGTGGTGATTGGCACTGCTCTCCATGAATGTGTGCGCGTGCACAAACACCCCAAACATCACACACACCACATACACACTGCACACACATCACATGCCATACACACCACACACACACACATAATAAATATAAAGACACCCACATAATAAAGTGTACTGGTAGAAAAACTCTCAAATGTAATGAAAAATTCTAAAAATACCGACACAGGAAAAACACAATGACAATAACAAAACAGGAAACACCTAAAGAGAAAAATCATCTGGCATTACTCTAGGCAGCCTCCAGGATGCCCCAAGCATCCTCCCTCCATGCCTCACAAAGTCCTCTCACACACTGAGTCATCGCTGGCCTGTGACAGACAGAATAACATGGAAGTGATGGCGTGTGATTGCCAAGACTGGGTCATAGAAGACATGCGGCCTTTGCCTAGCTCACTGATGGGGAAGCCAGCTGAACAGGAAGACACTCAAGCAGCCTCTGCAGCCCTTGAGGGCTGCGGCCTCCAGCCAAGAGCTGGGGGGTGAGCCACCTGATAGGCAGATCCCCCAGCCCAGTCAAGACTTCAGATGACCATGACCTTGGCCAGTATCATGACTGCACCTCGTGAAGGGCTGACCCTGAGCTAGAACCACCCAGCCAAGCCCCAGCTAAATTTCTGACCCAAATAAATTATGAGGTAGTAAATGCTTATTGTTTTAAATCACTAAGTTTTGAGAGAATTTTCATTACAGCATTACAGACAACTAATAGAGGCATCAAACTTTTCTCCACAGTATTGTAGACAGAAAACAATGAGATAATAACCTTGGAGTTTTGAGGAAAATAAAATGGCCCAACGATGTCTTCCCAGCCAGCTTATCTTTCATGTATAAAAGCTTCCGGTAAAAATGAGCTCAGATCTATGCCACCTATATAACATTGCTAAAAAATTCTGCAAGGAATTTCTGCAGCCAACAGAGAAATGAATACAAATAAATAAAANAGGCTGGTCACTCGGTTTGGGGACGACATTAAAAATATTGAGGTGCTTTACTTCCTTGGGTTGGGGCAGGAAGGGTGGGCTGGGTCAGAGCTATCCTGATGCCATGGGCTGGCCCCACCTAGAGCCAGGCAGCTCTTGGCTTGTCCCCATGTCCCCAGCCACCAGGGCGGGGCTAGGGGCAACTTGCCTTGGGTCCTGGGAATCCGATGGGGCCTTCGATGCCTGGATCTCCCTGTGGAAGAAAAACAGAAGGCCGTGGGTGTAACCTCAGTCTTGGGCACAGGGTCCGCTGGATGGGGCAGGAGGACACTCACCTGTTGCCCCTTCTGTCCAGGCTCTCCGGGCTCACCCATGTTGCCCTTGGCACCCTAAAAGCAGACAACAGAAAAAGGGGTAAATTGAGGTAAGGAGGGGTGGGGTGGGCCACCAGGGACCCTGTCACCAGCTCCTGGGAGGTAGAAGAGTGAGAATCTTGGGGTTAGCATGGACAAGGCTGCTGGTCCTGTCCAGGTGATCATGGCAACGCCACACTGGGATGTCCAAGAGTTGGATCAGCTGCCCTGCACCAGACCAGGGCCTGCTTTGACCCTGTTTCTCTGCGCTCTGACTGACAGCCCAGGGTGGACAGCTGCCGAGGCCTCTCTGCAGTGGCTCCGATTCCCTCCCGGCCTGGGCAGCGCCCACCCTTACACCAAGACACCAACTCCTCCAGACCCAGGGCTGGGGCACCTAAGTGACATGCCCAGATCAGGGCTTTAGAGGTCGAGAGGTTGCGCTCCCTGGAATTAAAGTTGCAAATGCATCTATTTGCTAATATACTTCCAATTTCAGGGCAGAGGAGCAGAGGAAGAAGGGAGGAGAGTGGGGGTGGTCGGAGGAGACGCAGGGGCGGTGAGGGGCAGAAGGAGGAGAGGGAAAGCAAGGAGAGCAGGTGGGCGGGGCGGAGGCTTCGGAAGCTGCTGTGCCTGTTTTGGGGTTCTCTATGTGTGCACCCCATGCTCACTGCCCCTCGGACGCTAACCAGGTGATCCCTGTGGCAGCTGTCAGCGACCCCCACCCAGGAGGACCAAGTCACCGCCCTTAGAGTGGGGGGCACAGTTGCTCAGGTGGCAAATCTATTCCTGGGCTGTGGCAGGTGGCCCTGCCCCAGGACTGGGGAGACCAGAGCGGTTGTGGGAGCACCTGGCCAGCGGCCTTGCACACCTGCATCTGGGTAGCTGTCTTCCGAATTCAGAAAGAAGAAAACACGAAGCTACTTCGCGGTAACTTTCTCTGTAACAGTGTTTCAAATTCTGTCTCATCTCAGAGGCTCTGTTCCCTTGTCTCTTTCTCCATAATGTTCTATATGCATTATGGCGTTTCTGATACTCTGGTATGAATTTTGGAAGAATTTCATTTTATATAGTTCTGTTGTTAGGAAAATGCGGGGCCAAACAGACCCCTTAGGCTTCTCATTTAACAAGTGACCGAAATGAGTGGTCTTTGTATGAATTCACATTGCTAACAGCAATGTCCTCTGCATTTTGTTGACATATTTGACCTTGTTTACTTTTCATATTTTATCAAAAATATAGCTAATATACAATATTATATCAGTTTCAGGGGTACACCATAGTTAGTCAACATTTATATACCTAAGGAAGTGATCACCATAAGTCCAGCAACCGTCTGACACCGTCCCACGTTATCACAATATTACTGACTATATTCCCCATGCTGTACATCACATCACCATGGCTTGTTTTATGCCTGGAAATTTGGACCTCTTATTCCCCTCACCTTTTCCCTCTTTTTAAAATTTTCAATTACAGCTAACATTTGATATTGTTTTGTATTAATTTCAGGTGTATAACATAGTGGTTAGCCATTTATATAATTTAAGAAGTGATCCCCCTGACTAGTCTAGTACCCACCTGGCACCACACATAGTTATTACCACATTACTGACTATACCCTCTATGCTGTACTTTACGTCCCCATGACTATTTTGTAACTATCAATTTGTACTTCTTAATCCCTTCACCTTTTTCACACACCTCCAGTCCCCCTCCTATCTGGCAACCATCAAAATGTTCTCTGTATCTATGAGTGTGTTTCTGTTTCATGTGTTTATTTTGTTCTTTAGATTCTGCCTATAAGTGAAATCACATTGCATCTGTCTTTCTCTGCCTGACATGCTCCACTCAGCACAACACCCTCCAGGTCTATCCATGCCGCCGCAGATGGCAAGAGCCCATTCCCTTCCATGGCCGAGCAGTACTCCACTGTATATATGTACCACCTACTCTTTATCAATTCATCCATCGACGGACACCCAGGCTGCTGCACACCTTGGCCATTGTAAACAATGCTGCACTGAACATATGGACACGTCCCTTACAAGTAGCATTTTGGGTTTCTTCGGATAATTACCCAGAAGTGGGTTACTGGGTGCTTCTTTGTCTCATTATAGCCTTTGTTTTAAAGTCTATTTTGTCCGGTGTAAGTATTGCTGCCATACCTTTTTTTTTTCCATTTCCATTTTCATGAAATAATTTTTCCCATATTTTCACTTTCAGTCTCTGTGTGTGTCTTTCAATCTAAAGAGAGTCTCTAGTAGGCAGCATATGTAAGGGTTTTGTTTTCTTATCCACTCAGCCTTCCTATGTCTTTTGACTGTAACATTTAATCCATTTACATTGAAAGTAATTGTTGATAAATATGCAGTTATTGTCATTTTATTATTCATACTTTTGATCTTTTTTTTCCTTCTCAAAGAAGTCTCTCTAACATTCCTTGTAATGCTGGTTTGGTGGTGATGAACTCCTTTAGCTTTTCTTGTCTGGGAAGTTCTTAATCTCTCCTTCGATTTTAAATGAAAGTTTTGCTGGGTAATCTTGGTTGTATGACCTTGCTTTTAATCACTTTGAATATTTCCTGCCACTCCCTTCTGGCCTGCAAAATTTCTGTTGAGAAATCAGCTGACAGTCTTAGGGGAGCTCCCTTGTAGGTAACTAATTGCTTTTCTCTTGCTTCTTTTAGGATTATCTCTTTGCCTTTAACCTTTGTCATTCTAATTACGATGTGTCTTGGTGTGCGTCTGTTTGGGTTCATCTTGTTTGGGACTCTGTGCTTCCTGGTCTTATATGTCTATTTCCTTCATCAGGGTAGGAAAGTTTTCACTCATTATTTCTTCAAATATGTTTTCAATCCCTTGCTCTCTCTCTTCTCCTTCTGGTACCCCATGATGCAAATGTTGTTACACTTGGTGTTGTCCCAGAGGCCCCTTAAACTCTCCTCATTTTTTAAAAACTCTTTTTTCCTTTTGCTGTTCTGATCGGCTGTTTTCTGCTACCTTTTCTTCTAAATCACTGATTTCTTCCAAATTTCTGTTTCATCTAGTCTGCTGGTGATTCCTTCTAGTGCATTCTTCTTTTTTTTTTAATTAAAGTTTCTTGGGGTGACAATTGTTAGTAAAGTTACATAGGTTTCAGGTGTATAATTCTGTAATACATCATCTATATATCACATTGTGTATTCACCACCCAGAATC